TTCTTCATAAAATCCCCAAGACGAATAGAAGATCTTAGAGGGGGAACTATAGCAGCAAAAATATCACCACCACTCTGCGATAGGAGTGGCGTGGTCGGTACCAGAGCCCTAGAAGAACACGAGCTCGACGACCGCTTACTACAAGAGAACAAGGCCAAAGTCAGAACAAAAAGAGGTGTTCAACAATAGAAAAACAAAAAACAACTCACCGATGCGTGACAAGGGCCACATCATCATCCTCATCTTCCTCATCCTCAAGCAAGGCAACCACAGCGCCATCTGAAAAAGGAGAACAATACTCGGTTAAAGGCACAAACAAACAACAAAAAGACAAAGCGCACTAATATGCTCACCTAGGAGCATGCTACCTATAACTTGAGTACATGGACGAGTACTCGACTGGCGAGGCTTCTTGGTAGCAGACAAACCAGAAGAAGAACAATCTGCTCGCCCCCTTTTTCCGATGCTACGAGGAGCTCGAGGAACTGGACGAGGAACATACTCTACATATACGTCAAGAACTGCGGAAGAAATACCAGGAAACATCGTGGTGCTTTGAAACTTACTGGTTAAAGATGCCCCAGCAAGACTCTTCCTAGTCTACACAATGGCAGGGTAGTCATCAAGGGGGATCGGATCAACGAAGTTACGCCCCAATTCCTATAAAAGAGTAAAACAACCAGACAAGAAAGATTAAGCAAAAAGTGGAGACAACAAAGAAAATACAAAAAGTACCCGCATAAGAAAAAACAACTCAAAGCAGGAGGTGGGTTGTTAGCACAATACTCAAGGACAGCATGCGGAACGACGCTTACTCCTTCCAACATCTTCTGAAGGCGCTCGAGTACCTCCTCATCAGTCAACTCAAGGGCAAGGACCATACGAGAAGGATCTTCCGCCCTAGAGTACTCAAAACCATAATTCTCTCGCTCCTTCAGAGGCTGAACACGGCGGCGAAGAAAACTGGAAACGATACTGAAGCCGATCAAGCCCTGTTGTTTTAGAGTACATATCCTCTCAAGAAACGGCTTGATCGCCTGGAGCTCATCCATCGTCAGGGGATTCTTTTCCCATCGGTCATTAACCACGGGACCAGAACCAGAATGAACAGCAAGAGGAGGAATCAAATTGGTGGCATAAAACCAGTCGGTACGCCAATCCCTCATAGAATCAACCAAGTCATAATCAAAAAATTTACTCTTAAGACCCTGACGAAACTGAATATCACAGCCACCAAGAACATGGGTGTCATCGTGGCGGGGTTGTGGCTTCAGATGGAAGAAGTAACGAAAGAGAGAAAGAGAAGGAGGAATTCCAAGAAAAGTTTCACAAAGATGAATAAAAACAGAAAGATTAAGGATAGCATTGGGAGCAAGATGGTTCAAGCTAATCCCAAAATAGCTGAGAAATCGATGAAGAAAAGCAGAAGCAGGAAGGCAGAGTCCAGCACGGATAAAGGAGACCAAAAGAACAATCTCATCAGGACCTGGAGTTGGGACCCGATGCTGGCCTGGAGCTTTCCAATCAGCAAACTCCTTGCCCTGGATCAGACCATCACTGACAAGCTCGCGCAACTGATCCTCAGTCGTAGTCGGAGCCGGCCAGATCTTCTGAGCAGCCCTCATGGCCATAAATTCTTGATTTTCAATCACAGAAAGTGATGCCTCCTCGTCTACAAAGGTTGCCTAGGACTTGCTCGCTGACTTCTTTCTACCCATATACTAGCGAAAGCAATAAAGCACTAAGAAACGATGAGGCTCAGACGGCGGCGCTCAGATGACAAGCGACAATGGCAGCGGCGGAGTTTTGAAGACTAGGGTTTCAAGGCAAAAGCAGGGCAGCAAAGAAAAAGAAGAAGAAAGGCCTTTAAATAGACTTTACAGCAATAGAAACGCGGCACACCAGGCCCATTTAAACACGGCATGAGAACGCAACGATCCATTTCTCACCACAACTGACACATCTAAAATGACGGATGGCACACTTCTACACAAAGGTATAGTTCAACGGGCAGATTTCAGACTTATCCATCTAGCACCACGGTAGAGTTATCATATTACTACAAAAAGAACTCATCAACCATGAAGCAACGAAGGGTTACCGCACAAGGAACACAAGAACCCCGTTCTTATAGAAAGAACTCAGAAATCTCATAAACAACCAGGACATCAGCAGAAAAAAGAATGACAACTCAGAAGACAAGATTCTTTCCATTACAAATGGCTTCAAAAAATACAAGACTACACATCTTACAAGACCTAACGAACTCGGTACTATGACAAGCAAGGTAGCAAAAAGGAACATGGACACAGCTAGGCTCTAGAACGACTACGTGTTCCAAATTACTACTCGGCAGAACAAACCGCACTCGGATACACTGTTTTCTTCAAGACTTCACGACAAAAAGAACCCGGACCGATCTATATCCGAGTTCTTTTTGATAAAGAACCCGGGTACACGCTTGGGAGCCCTTCGACAAAGAATTAGAGCAATTTCAAAACAAGACCCTCCAGCTCCTTGTTCTAAATAGCAAGAGGCTCGGGGGCTACACCCAGATGGGTGTACTTTTTCTTCAAAAAAGCACAAACCACTCGAAGATCCCAAGAAGCGCTACACGGTTTCGCTCAAGAAAGCACTCGGACGACGCTTGTTCCTACTCGGCAAGACCTGAAGGAACAAGACGAGGCTTCCAGAGCTCAACCATGAAGTGCTCGGGGGCTTGTCGATGCGGGACCCATGGGATACCCCGCAAGAAAGGGAGAAGATCTAGTCTAACTAGGATTCTTCCCATGTAATCTTAGTAGTAGTATTATTCTGTAATCCTACTATGAACTCTCATTGTAAACCGACTAGGACTCTGGCATCCTAACTATATAAAAGAGGGCAGGGTTCCTGGAGACGGGACTTTCACAACTAATCCAACGCAAAGGCTAACGCCGACTGGACGTAGAGCTATTACTCGATCACGGTCGAGGGTCCGAACCAGGATAAATCGAATGTCTCTTGCGTTAACCGTCGAGTTTTGCATATGCTGAAGCCCGAACAAACTGCCCCGAGTACCCCCGTGGCAGGCTATCGGTGGTGAAACATCGACAGTATTCCAACCATACCATCAGCTACTAAGTTAAACAAAAGAGGGGACAACATATCTCCATGCCTCAATCCTTTATAGCTTCTAAAAAACTATCCAATTTCACCATTAAGTTTAACAGCCACTATACCTCCCCCATTGCTTTCATTACCCATCACTTAATTTTGATGTAATGGTACATTCCCACATTTTCACATGTGCACTTGTTATATAGAAATTCTCATGACAAAAATGAACATCTAGTGAATACTAGAGAGTTTGAGGGTCTCTTAGCACTTGATTTATTTGATAAAAAACAAAGTCTCAGATGAAGGGTCAAGGAATACCGACTAGGAGAGAATGAATACAAGGTTTCAACTAAAAACACAAACACTAGTCAATTTTAATTAGAACAACAACAGTCCTAAAATACTACTTTGTCTATCTTGGTGAGGGTTTGCAACCTAGTGTGACAATCAAAAGAACAAGTCTAAGAATGCAAATCTACCCAAAGTAACTTGCATGAAAGTAAATTGAGCACAAGAGATAATCAATTGGAGACACCAATTTTATCCCGCTGTATTCATGACTTTTTGGTCACCCCTAATCCACATTGAGGTGGATTCAATGTTCACTGCTCTTTTATAATGATAATTCTTGATCTTGAGCCAGCTAGAACTACTATCCTTCTAACTTTTGTAACTTAGCTTGCACTTTTTCACCCATTTCTAATCACATGTCCTAATCTAAAGTTTACAACTTTATTAGCTTCCACTATCATCGAAAGTAGTTGTTTCCACCATGATCAATCTTGCATGATATCTCTCTCTTTTGGTTGGTTAGATCTATGATCTAGGGCTATATATTTATGCCCAAGCTTGGTACAATAGCTCATGTGCTCATGTACAATTTGCTTTTGTATCCTGGTTGCATATTAATAGCTCTATCAATGTCGTCTCTTTTCATCAAAATATCAAAGTTTTATCATTAGTCCTACAGATTAGCCTTCCTTAGTTGCCACGCTATCAAGTCTTATCTTTTTAACCTTTCTATATGTTTATTTTTGAAAATTCTCACATTGAGTTATGTTCTTCCAGTTATATATTATATCAAAAGATAATTTAAACTGTTATTTTGAACCACATTTTATTTTAGGATAAAGATTTAATCACTTAGCTAACATAAAGAAACTATTTTTTGAATAATGGCATAGGTTAGTAATACACAAATAAATGTAAGAATGTTTTCAGGTTATTTTTTTGCGTAACGATAGTGATGAGTAAGTAAGTTATCAGCATATAAAGGGGTGTATATCTCGTATTAGCCAAATGCTAGGATAATATATGGGTTATTCTATCCATTTTCATAACATAACTTGTCGCATAATGGTGGTTTGCTCAAATAGTAAGACACTCGCGTGTCGAACGGACATGTTTGATGAGTTTATTTGAGAAATTTTTATGACACATACTTACACCGTAAATATTAGGAGCATTCGATTATACCAAGCCTTAAAGATGACTATGATGACAGTAGAACTAGGAAAGTTGTAGGATGGATAAAAATGGATAAAACTTTTTTTGGGAATAAAAAAATGGATAAAACTTAGTATAGTACTGTTTATACGGTTTACCAAACAAGAAAAACAAAACCCGTCCAGCTCGTCAAATATGCTAATACAAATCATCGTGACATCGCCGGGCCGTCGGGGTCCCGTCGCCCAAAATGGTCAGTGCAGGTTCGTCGTCCGAGTCTATAAAAAGGCCGCTCCCCCTGTGTCCTCCCGTACTCGTCGAATCACCCTGCTCCCCTCCCACCGATCCATCTTCCCCTGTTCCCACGCGCCAAAATATTTCCGGATTCCGAGCACCAAATCAGAGCACAGCTCGGCACGACACTCACCTACGGGGAGAGGACGCAATCGCAGGCCATGGAAGTGACTATGGACGACGTGGCCGGGGATGTCGAGTTCTCTGGCTGCAGCTCCACGACCACCTCGTCGTCGTCGCCGTCGCTGGACGACGGCATGGGGATGTACGCGTGGAACGCTCTCTCCCCGGTGACCGACTGGGGCTCGCTCTGCCCTGACGACGGCGCCCAGGACCTTCACGGCCTCATCGAGTCCATGCTCTGCGACGACACGCTCCTCGGCTCGGCCGACCTCAACCCGGCCATGTTCCCGGACGACGTGTACTGCTGCTCCAATGGCTCCGCCCCGAGCAGCACCACCACGACGAACCCCGGCACGCCCGTGAACGACGGCGACGCGCAGAAGGGCGACTGCCACGAGAAGGGCCTCTGCCTGCTGCACTTGCTCATGGCGGCGGCCGAGGCGCTCTCCGGCCCGCAAAAGAGCCGGGAACTGGCCCGGGTGATATTGGTTCGGCTCAAGCAGATGGTTTCCCACATCGGCGACAACGCCGCTGTCTCCAACATGGAGCGCCTCGCCACGCACTTCACCGACGCGCTGCAGGGGCTGCTCGACGGCTCCCACCCCGTCGGGGGAGCCGGCAGGCAGGCCGCCGCGGCCGCGGCCCACGGCCACCTCCCACACACCGGCGACGTGCTGACGGCATTCCAGATGTTGCAGGACATGTCGCCGTACATGAAGTTCGGCCACTTCACCGCGAACCAGGCCATCCTCGAGGCAGTGGCGGGCGACCGGCGCGTGCACGTCGTCGACTACGACATCGCTGAGGGCGTCCAGTGGGCGTCGCTGATGCAGGCCATGACCTCGCACCCCGACGGCGTGCCTCCGCCGCACCTGCGCATAACCGCCGTCTCCCGAGGAGGCGGTGGCGGCGCCCGGGCGGTGCAGGAGGCCGGCCGTCGCCTGGCCGCCTTCGCGGCGTCCATCGGGCAGCCCTTCTCGTTTGGGCAGTGCCGTCTCGACTCAGATGAGCGGTTCCGTCCGGCGACGGTCCGGATGGTCAAGGGGGAGACCCTCGTCGCCAATTGCGTGCTCAACCAAGCCGCCGCGAGCACCACCGTTAGGCGTCCCACCGGCTCGGTGGCGTCTTTCTTGGCCGGCATGGCCACGCTCGGGGCCAAGGTCGTGACGGTGGTTGAGGAGGATCAAGGGGACGCCGAGAAGGACGAGGAGGAGGAGGGCGGCTTCGTGGCGCGGTTCATGGAGGAGCTGCACCGGTACTCGGCGGTGTGGGACTCGCTGGAGGCCGGGTTCCCGACGCAGAGCCGTGTTCGCGGCCTAGTGGAGCGGGCCATCCTCGCCCCAAACATCGCCGGCGCCGTGAGCCGAGCGTACCGTGCCTCGAACGGCGATGGCGAGGCGAGGGCCGGGTGGGGGGAGTGGATGCGCGGCAACGGGTTCAGGGCCGTGCCGCTGAGCTGCTTCAACCATAGCCAGGCCAGGCTGCTGCTCGGCCTGTTCAACGACGGGTACACGATGGAGGAGACGTCTCCGAACAAGATCGTGCTCGGCTGGAAGGCACGGAGATTGCTGTCGGCGTCAGTGTGGGCGCCGCCGCCGGTGTCTGTGCCGTCGTCGCCGACGGAGGCGGCGTTCCAGCCCGTGGGGATGTCGCCGGGCAGCGGTGGCGTGGGCCGCATGGACTTTGACTACGTTGATTCGTTCCTCGTCGAGCCCGCTTATGCGCTAGTTTAATCGTGGTTGGGTAGAGCGATTCAGCACCTTTTATCTCCGAGAGATGTTTTAGAGTTGTTCAGGTGTAAAAAGTTCAGTAGTGTTTCGCTATTTCAGCCCTTGTTTAGATTGGGGTTAGGGATCAGTATTTGGCATTATAGCACTTTCATTTGTATTTGACAATTATTGTCCAATCATGGTCTAACTACGCTCAAAAGATTTGTCTCGTAATTTACAATCAAACTGTGTAATTAGTTTTTTTTTATCTACATTTAATACTCCATGTATGTGTCCAAAGATTTGATGTGATGGAGAGAGAGTGAAAAAACTTGCAATCTAAACAAGGCCTGGTTTGTAAAATCAAAGAGGCTGAGAATCGCTAACTCCAGTGTCCAGTCTCCTTCCACCAGGGCCGCGTTTAGTTGCGCCCGGAATTGGGGCCGTCGGATTTTCAGCAACATTGTAGCGCACTGTTGCATTTCGTTTGTATTTGGTAATAATTGTCTAATCGTTGATTAATTAGGCTCAAAACGTTCGTTTCGCAAAGTACAACCAAACCGTGCAATTAGTTTTTTATTTCATCAACATTTAGTACTCCATGCATGTACCGCAAGTTTGATGTGATGGAAAATCTTCTTTTTGCATAGTGCCAAAATTTAAAGTTGGGGTGAACTAAACATGGCCCAGAATCTAACAATTGGAGATGGAACAGGACAAATAAAAAAAGGACAGATATAATATCGGAGGCTCCCACATGAGTGGGTCTAAGAAAGAAAAAAACCGAGACAAACTTTCCCCCATAAAATATACGAAGAGGCTGCTAAAACCAATTACGTGAATAAGGCTGGATGTACCTGTATCTTTGGGCAAACCCCATACCTATCATGTTTCTGCCATTAACGATTTTCTACTCCCCATTTGAAATGACAACACTTATCTAATGTTGTTTGAAATTCCTAATCAATATTTTTAATAATGCAGTGTTTTTAGTAAAAGTTTAATGTCAAGTACTCATGATATATGATTTTTTTCATCACATAAATGCTGTAATATTGATAATTTGATTATTGGTCAAAGTCTTTTCCTTGTGAAATGAAATATACCTTGTGATTTCAATCCAAGTACTAGTATGCAACATAACAATGATTATTAGGTAGGACGAAAAGAGTGGCTAATTTGGCTAGTTATACATCAAATGAAATAGGCTTTGTTCGTCAATCTCTAGATCTGTAGACCGAGTTTCATTCTTATAAAGGTGCTTATAAAGGTAGGATGTGTGTATGTACTCGTACGGTAAGTGTACATGTACAAGTGTCTGTGTCGGTGTTTTCGGACCACCGACGAGTAAATTTGTATTTGCGCGTCTGGCTCGGATGATGTGTTCAGAGGACACAAGAGTTTATACTGGTTCGGGCGGAACGTCCCTACGTCCAGTTTGCTGCTGCTCATGTTACCGGCACTTGGTTTGCAGTAGGGGTTACAAACAAGTGAGAGAGGGAAAGGATCCCAAGTCTCTGATGGAAGGAGTGAACGGGTGCTGAGAGCTGGATCGCCCCTCAATCGTGTGTTTGTGTCGTGCTCTTGTGTTTTTATCTCGTGGTTCGGTTTCGTGCGGATCTAGATCCCCTTTCATGGGGTGCCCTGCTTTTCCTTTTATAGGCGAAGGAAAAACGTGGGTTACAGCGGAGGAAAAAGAGAACAACGAGAGGTAGCAGAAGGCTTCCAGGATCGTTCGGTCCTTCTACTCCTTCATGCAGGTCCCATCGATATTGTAGATGTCGACAGGGACGACTCCACGTCGCGACCCTGTTCGTCACTGGCGCCATGCGCATGCATCATCTGCCGGTCATGACATTCCATTCCGTCCCAGCGAACGTCGTGGTGAACTAACGCGCCTATCAGCGTTCGTACGAGGGTTAGGCAGAACAGCATCGGTACAACCAACACTGTTCTTGATGTGAATCCTCAGGTATGGCCCGTCATGGCCATGGGTTACATCAAGGCGTGCCAGTCTCTTCCCTGATGTCAGAGTTTTGACCCAGACCCATACGCTTGGACCTAGAGTAGTTGGTGGCGGTATGAGTACCCGTTAGACGAGATGGAGCCCACGCCCAAGGGGTCGGACGAGATGGAGCCAGCACCTAAGGGGTCGGGGAAGACGGAGCCCACGGCCTTGGGGTCGGGCGAGACAGAGCTCTCACCAAAGGGTCGGACTAGATGGAGCTCTCACCCTTGGGCGAGATGGAGACCGCGTCCTTAGGGTCGGGCGAGACGGAGCCCACGGCCTTGGGGTCGGGCGAGATGGAGACCCGTGGCCTTGGGGTCGGGCAAGATGGAAACTGAGTCCTTGGGGTCGAGCGAGACGGAGCCCGTACCCAAGGGGTCGGGCGAGACGGAGCCCGTACCCAAGGGGTCGGGCGAGACAAAGCCTCGTGGCCTTGGGCGAGACCCCACGGCCTTGGGGGTCGGGCGAGGCCTTTTAATACGTCTTGCTCCATCCAGGGAAGTCAGTGTGGGAGCTAACTTCCTTGCTTTGGGTATCCCTACTATCGATACCTGACAGCTGCCCTCGAGCCTGTGGAGGAGTAGAATACTTCTTTGGAGGCTTTTCCAAACGGGAAGACTCTAAGGGCCTTAGCCTTCTTTTTGTAGCCATCAGCGTGTCCTGGTAGGACGGCGGTTCTCTTTTGTCGTGGTTGGTCTTCTTGGGGGCATGTAATCGTAGGATTTGGGAGGTCGGAAAGATTTTTCTTGATTTCGGTCTCCTAGGATCCGATTGGTCCGTCATTGTACTACGACCGTGCGTTCAGTCTCCTTGCAAGTCCAACTTTCCTCGAGCCCTCATGCGTAGCAGGGGTCCGGTCGAGGGTCGGCTCATCTTTGTGATCGTCGTCCCTCAAGCGTTTTTTTTATAAAACGAAGGGGCTGAGCCGTGCCACATTTTTCCTTAATGGATGAAACATGGTGCTTGGTGAGCTGTTAACGGGCTAGTCCGAGTGGGCCCCGGCTTCCCGTTTGTGGGGGTCCGGCATGGGTCAGCTGGTGACTGACTCCAGATTCTTAGTGGCCAATCCATATAGTTCTTGGGTCCGTTCGACCGGTCCCAAGGGCTCGTTGCCTTTCTTCAAGGAAAGACCATGGATTGGGAACCAACCAAGACTCGAACATGTGCCGGTATGCCCGTGGTGCTCGTGCGCCCGGGTACTAGCTGCTAGTGGGCCCATCCCTTTCCACCCCTCGCTCTTAGGGTGCCCCGGAGCGGCTGCAAACCCGTCGGTGGGCCGGCCTTCAAACTCCTGGGCCTAAATGGGCCGTAGGAGCGTTTTCAGCTCTGTATCCCTCCTTACCTACGATGGTTCTTGGTCCATTGACCAGGCGAACCGTCATCCGGCGTTTCCTTTGAGGGCACGGATAGAGATTGCGTGCGCATGATCTTCGGAGGGAGATGACGTGACACGGCGCAGTGGGCACGTGAATCTAGGCGGATGGTTTGTCTTCTCGCCCCGCTCCACCTTATAAATAGCGGCCTCCCCTTTCATATTTTTGCACGCCAAAACCATTGCCTTACCATCTCTGTTTCTCTGCCACCGCCGTTTGGATCTGCCATGCTTGCTAGTCCATCGTCGGAGCCCTAGATCTGTACCCTCCGCTCCTCCTCCGCCGCCTTTGCTTCTCTGTAGCCACCTCCATCCTCCATGGATTCGTGGCATCGCTCTGATGTTACCTATGTGCGCATGGAGGGCCTCGTCAAGCGTGGTCTTCTCTGTGGGAGGACCGATGTGGCGGAGTGGCTTGTGCCCGACCGTGAGGAGGCATCGGCACCATCCAATGGCTACGTCGTCTCCTTCGTGCTCTTCCACGAGCACGGACTCACGGTTCCTCCTCACCCATTCTTCCGGGGTCTGCTGCACCATTATCAGATCGAGCTTCAGCACTTGAACCCTAACGGGATCCAACACATCATGGCCTTCATCGTGATGTGTGAGGGGTACCTAGGGATCGAGCCCCACTTCGAGCTCTGGAGATATTTCTTCTCCATCTCCTTGATGAAGAAGGAGAGAGGTTGGGAGACCCTGATGCCGATGGGATACGCAGGCATCCACCTCCAGGGGCAGCGGGCGGCCGAGTACATGGCCTGCCATCTCTCTAGATCCAACAATGGGTGGCACTCGCATTGGTTCTACCTGAAGGACAAAATTCCATACCCTTGCCTGTCTTCTCCGGGCGTTTTATCGAAGAGGTTCCACCGTCATGGCCGTGGGGGCCACCCGTCAAGGAGAAGAAGAGGATGTGCGACCTCCTCGAGGCCATCGCGTTCCTAAAGACACATGGCCTCCATGGGGTCAGTGTCATGGGGGGTATCACGCGAGGAGGGTGGCGCCCCTTATGGTGCGCATCCTCCCACTGTACGGGATGACGCCCGGCGCGTAGCTCGTTGGGACGACGCTCGCCCAAACGTTGCTCCACGACAGTGAGGTCGCGCAGCGCATCGAGGAAGCCACGGGGGAGCCCGACGCCGTGTTCCCGATCCTAGGGCATCCCGTGATGCGGCCGGACACGGGCTTCATCGAGCTACCGGTGGGGTTAGTCTTTTGGGACTCCGTCGCGCCACTGGCAGAGCACGCGGCTATGAGGGGCAGCAAATCGTGCCGCGGATGAACAATGGAAGAAGAAGAAGGATGATGAGGAGAAGGAACGGCGGTTGAAGCAGCGAGTGAAGCTACAGTGAGGGAAGCGACGTCAAGGCTCATCAGAAGAAGAGGAGGAAGAGGAGGAGGAGGATGACGGCTCCTTGTCGCCCATCCCGTGGGATGATCTGGCCACCGAGGATGAGTACTCGCCTTCGTCATAGGCGGGACCCTTCTCGTGGCATGTCGTGAAGCAGGAGGTGGAGGACGCACCCCCGGAGCCAGTGGAAACGAACCGCCCCGCCGAGAAAGGTGTCATTTCCCAACAAGTGTTTTAGTTATACAATTCCAAGGTGTTTCTTTATTTCATTTATTTGATTTACTATATATTCA